ATGGTCGATGGTATCGAACGCCGCTGAGAGGTCAAGAAGCACCAGGGATATCCTCTATCCCTGGCCCGCCAGAGATCATCAGTCAGTGCGACCAAAGCAGTTTCGGTGGAGTAACCAGGCCTGAAACCTGACTGAAAGGGATCTAGATAATCAGCTTCGTCCAAGGTCCGTCAGAGCTGAAAGGCCACCACCTTCTCAACAACCTTCCCTACAAAAGGGAGGTTGGAGACTGGACAGTAATTTTTAAGAATAGCTGGATCCAGAGAAGGCTTCTTAAGGAGGGGTCTCACCTTTAGGGGCAGCAGGAAAGATCCCTCCTGAAGAGAGGTATTAACAATCCTCTGGAGCCAGCCTCGTGTAACCTCCCTGCTGGTCGAAACCAGCCAGGAGGGACACGGGTCCAGTAGACAGGTGGAGGCACTCACAGCTCCCATGGCCTTGTCCACTTCCTCAGCAAGGAGGGCAAAGGCTTTTGGGGGAAGAGAGGGTCTTTTGTCTCCGGGCTCCCCTCCTCTGCCCTGCCCCATGCGAAGAGCCCTGGAGAGGGTTGGGGGGGAGCCCAGTTCAAAAGGTCTAGGGAGAGCCGCTAAGATGGGTTCTCTGCTGTTTCCTCTTGGCAGGCCAAGGAGATGGGGGCCTGTGCCAACTGCACCCACCCTGGCAGCAAGATGGCCCCCTTCCAAAGCCAGTACAAAACTATGTACTCCATCCAGGTGAGCAAAGCTGCTGCCCCTCCCCCAAGCAATGAGCCCCCCCGCTGGGTGCCAGTCGGAGGGGGGGGCTGAGATGGTCACTTTTCCAAGAGCTGCCTCTGTGGGGGCCTCTTGGTGGAATTTGGCTAAGAACCAGCAAGGGGGAGGTGGTAGCGCCCAGTGGCTGGGGCTGGGGTCTGCTCTTGGGGAGCACACGGCCAGTGAGACCCTGTCCTCTTCCAGGCCTGCCTGCGCTCCTGCTTCCAAGCCAAGATGATGAAAATCTGCCAGTGTGCCCACTATTCCTACCCACTGCCCAAAGGAGCCCATTACTGCAACAACGAGGATTATCCCAACTGGGGTGAGGAAATGGAGGGAACGGCCCAACAGGGGTGACTCCGGAGCTGCCCCCCAGCTGTAGAAACCCCACAAGACAACGGAGCCCCCCAGAGGTTCCCAGCCTGGCTTGGGGAGGGAAAGGGGGATCTGAAAGCGCAGCTAATGCCAGCTGAAGCCCCTTCCTAGACGCCCAGGTGTGCTGCTCCCAACAGAAGGAGACAAGTGCCCCTTAATCCTTAGATGAAACTTGGGTTCGAGGCATTTCTCCTTCAGAATTAAAGGTAACATGGAAGCTCAGATTAACAGCCTTGTGCCAAGATGGCTCTTTCCCTCCCCACAGCCTACTGCTACTCCATCCTGCGCATGAGCCAGGAGCATCGGCAGATGTGCATCCAATCTTGCAAGGAGACCTGCAAGTAAGGGTGGATGAGTGGTCAAGGAGAGCCAGGGGGGGTGAGAGGAGCCAAGGGAAAAGCCTGACCTCTCGTCTCTTCCCCCAGCAACACCCAGTACAAGATGACCATCTCCATGGCAGACTGGCCCTCCGAAGCCTCAGAGGTAAGTCCTACCTGCAGCCAGCTCCTCACCTGCCTCTCCAAGGGCGGACAAGGAGGCTGGGCAGCCATTTGACACTTCTCTGAGTTGGGGGTGGGCTCAGCAACACCTTCGGGGACCCTGTTCAATCGTTTAAATTCTAAAAGCCCCGTGGAAGTAAAAAGGGTATTTAAGCAGAAAAGTCCCACTCCTGGGTCCCTGTGAGAGCATCTCCCACCTGCCATGACCTGCTTGTGACCTTTGCTTCCCTCTTGCTAGGACTGGATTTTCCATATTTTATCTTACGAAAGAGACACGTCAACCAAAGTCACTCTGGACAGGTGCGTATCTGCAGGTTTCCCTCCTTGAGGCCGATGCGGCAGGAAGCCTCGGTCGCAGCTCCTGGGCAGAGAGAAAGGCCGGGAGGGGCAGCCTCCCCACAGGAGGGGCGGGGGGGAAAGAAGTTGAACAAATAGCCTTGAATCACCACCATCGCTCGGCCTGCCCTGAGTGTAGGAAGGGAAGGGAAAGGTCCCTTGGAAGGCCGAGAGGGGCTTCTGTCCTGGGTCAGCCAGGAGGAGTGGGCCTAGCCGGTTCTACTTCCTTGCCCATCACAACTGTCCACATCTTTGTGCCTCTGCGCAGGAGCCCCAGTCCTACAGCAGTAACCAAACGCCCTTCCCCTTTTGTCAAAAACACTCTGTGCATGTCTTTGTCCGACCCTCCCTCTTCCCCCAAACTTTCCTCAAACCCATTTTGTCACAGCTCTCGCCTTCTGGTTCAGAATATTGCACCTGTCCCTGTGAAGTTCCGCCTGTTTGTTCCAGCTTGTTGCCCTGGCTGTGCCTGTCCCCTCTGAGCTTTGAGGGTAGGGTGCCCGGCAGGGGCAGAGGAAAGCCCACCAGAGCCTCCCCACTTGGCTTCTGAGACTTCAGCAGCCCAGCCTGACCTTTCAACCTGCCGGCTGGATATGACTCGCCCCCCTGCAGTGAGAGGAGACTAGGCGCAGACATAGGCCTGGACCTTGTGGGGGGAGGGGCGCTTCAGTAGAGTATCTGAGGATGGTCTCCTCCAAAAAGGGATGAAGTGGAGACTAGACGACAATGCTGTGTGACCTACTCACACTGGGCTGAATTGTCACATCCCAAGAGTCCTCCGATCTGGACAGACGTCTGGAAGGCCACAGGGCCCTTTGCCATTCAGTGCTTTGATCAAGGGATCAAGGGACGAAGGGAGTGGAGGAGATACTTTAAAAATGTGCAGAAGACAAGCTGAGAGAGGTGGTCAACTTTGAAGGAGAAGACTCAGAAATTGAAAGACCAGAAGGGGCTGAAGGTCAGGGATGGATCAGCCTAGTATCTATGTCAGCGATCCCCAATCTTCCCACCTTGGTGGCCTAGCCTGGCACTGAGGGTGGGGCGTATAAATGGAGCTTTGCGCAGGAGCACAAGTGCCTCGACTTTAGCACCTCCACTCGTGTGAATGGAACTTTGCACATGAGCGCTTGCCCCTCGCTTGCATGGCCCAGTTTCCAATAGGGTTGGGGCCCCCTGATCTCTATGGTCAAGACTGACTGGATGGGACATCATGTAAAGTTCTGCAACTGTTTAGGAAAAAAGGAAAGGCGAATATCGGATGGGAGAGAGCCGGTAAGCCACATGAAAGCCTCAGGTTGTCATTCTCCCACCATCCGTGGTTAAAGGTGCTAGAAAGGCAAATACTGTTTGCATCACCAGGATAGCAGAGTCTAGATCATGGGAAGCCATGGGCTCACTCTGTGTGTCTTGATCAGGCTCTGTGGGTGTGGCGTCCTGAGGGCAAGATAGGACACTGCTCTTCAGAAACCCAAGGCAGGAGGGAGTGGACCTCCTCTCCATTGCCTTGCGTGATGGAACCAGAGCCACATGGGAAGGAGGCTAAGGCTAGGATGTCAGAAGGATCCTGATTGTATGAGCTCTCAGCCAATGGAGCAGGTCCATGCACGAAGTAGCCAGTTCCTTGCTGAAGGGCCAGCTAGAGATCGGATGGTCCTCTGTCTGGGATGCTGGAGCAGACCTTGCGCTCAGGTCCTTTGAGATACCTTCCAAATGTTGTGTGGAGAAAGAAGAAGGAGGTCTTGCCTCACACTTGGAGGATCCTGAATGTTCCTTTTGTCCGTCACAGGAATGGAATCATCAAGCTCAGCATCTACTTCCAGGAGTACAACTACCGCACCATCTCAGAGTCTGCAGCAACAACGGTAAGTGGCCCCTTGGAGATGGCAAGAGGCCTGGTCCTCGGTCCACTTCCTCCTTCCCGAGGTCCCTGAGAAGGCTTGTCCCCCCCAGAGGAGGCCGAGTTCGTGGATAAGCAGGGGTAGGCAACACAAGGGAAAGTGCTTCCTCGGATGTGGAATGTCGTGTGGGAGGAGGGTGTGCGCTCTGCTCATGCTTAGCAGCAAGCCCTGCTTTGCATGTGGCAGGAACAATGTCACCATCTGGGAAAACTGGGAGAGGCCAACTGGAGGCACTGGGGCGACTGGCTTGCTTGGCAAGCCACAAGGAAACTCCAGGCTCAAAGCTGCTTGCAACCAAGGAGAAAGAGTCCATTTTCAGTACCTGAAGTCTGGCTTTGGCTTCAGGAGCTGGATTGGTGAGTGATCCTCACCTCCATGTTGGCCTCATGTGGGACCATGAAAGCTCCAGCCCCCCTCTGGCCAGGAGAGTTTGGCCAAGCCGCAAGGCCGATCCCTGCATCTCTGCTCCAGGGACGCCTGAGCCCGCCTGCCCTCACCTCGGCCTCTCTCCCCACGGCAGATTGTCTGGCTCCTCTCCAGCCTGGGTGGGCAGTTCGGCTTCTGGATGGGTGGCTCCGTCTTGTGCCTCATCGAGTTCGGGGAGATCCTGATTGACTTCGTCTGGATCAGCGTCCTGAAACTGATCTCCTGGGGCAAGGGGCTGAAATGGAAGCCGGCCCCCAGGCCCCCAGATGCCCTCCCGTCCGTCTGCCAGAAAGTGGAGGCCTACACCAACCTGGGCTTCTGCGGGGAGGAGGAGAAGGAGGCAGCAGCGGCTGAGGACCCGGGAGATGGGCCCCCAGATGCTCCAGGGGCTGGCTCTGAGCCGGGCACTCCACCCCCCAAGTATGATTCGCTCCGTGTGCTCCCTTTGGATCTGCTGGAGCCAGAGAGCGACGAGGAAGACGCTCCTGGAGTGGACACGAAGAGCAAGTGAGGCCAGGAAGGCAAGTTCCTCCCTGCTCCCCCAAGCACCTGCAGGGCATCCTTCCCCTCCCTCTTGGGCAGCACAGCCATCCTCTCAACACCACAGAAACTTGGGGTGCAGCTGGATTGCCCTCATCGGATGCTCAATGCATTTCTTTCTGGGCATAAATCTGGCAGGTCAAGAGGTTGGTGTAAACACTCTGAAGGGGGGGGGGGGCTTGCAGCCAATCATGGGAAGTGCTTGATAGTGGTGGTAGATCTTAACATGGACAGGGCGCCTGGGGAGGGGCGAGCAGCCGGGGCAAGGACTTCTGTAAGAACAGAGCCCTCCTTGGCCCTGCCTGAGCCGGCTGTGCTGCTGCTGCTGATTCAGGGCAGAGGTGCCTGGCAGGCGGGCAGCTCCCCGGAGGGGCCAACGTCCCATCAGGATCTTCATTGGAGCTAATCAAAAGGCTGATCTGTACCAAGAAGAAAATAAGTTTAAGATGAAAAATATGGAAAGGGAATAAATAATACGGCTAAAACTGGAAACAGAGATAGGATGTAAAATGGATTATGTACGTATATGAGAGGATGCGAAAGAAAAGAGCCGGACAATCATAAAATATGTAAAACTTTGCAATAAAAAATAAAAATCCTGGGGGGGGGGGGGGGGGGGGGCGGATCTGGGAGAGGAAGGGAGCCACTGCCAAGAAATGGGCTGTTATAAAAGTTACACAGCTTCGTCACAGAATAAATCCAGTTGGGTGAAAACCACGCTCCCTTTGTCACCCTTCTGCCTCTCCTTGCCCCCACTTTCCTCATTTGGGGCCCGCCAAACTCTTCTCCTGGCAGGGGGTGGGGAGAAAGGGGGCGGCTGTTTTTTAGAGAGTCAGTTTGATGCTTGTGGGCAGGAGTCGTGGTGGGAAGCTGGGGTGTGTGGTTGTCGCTGGCCAGCTTGGTACCCATCAGCCTAGGCCGAATTCCTGCCAGAAACCACCCCAAGTGCCCTCAAAGGGAATGCCAGCCTCTTCACCCTTGCCAACAGGCAAGGCAGAGGCACATGACAGAAGAAGTTACCCAACCGAGACGTCCCAGAGTGGTCAATGTGCAAAAAAGGTAGTCAAGGGATCCACCCTCAGGCAGCGCACAGAGGGGGAGAAGCGTCCCTAGTTGGGGGTGCAGAGCCAGAGCAGGGAAAGGAGCAGAGCCTTGGGCAGGGCTTGCTCTCCCCCCCCCAAGGATTAGGGTCCTGCAGGGTCCCCCCCCCTCGCCTCCAGGAGCAGGTGGGAAACACGCTGCACGGTTGAAGTTGGGTTTGCTGTTTGCTGTAGAAGGGGGCCCTGAGCTCAGTAACTTCCAGGTGGGGGGAAGGGCGGCAGCTTCCTGGTCCCTCAGAAGCCTGAGCAGCTGCAGGATCCGCAGGGCTTCGTGGATGGAAATCTGGGAGAGAAGCGACCTAGAACTGAGGAGAACCTTCCTAAAAGTGAGAACGGTCACACAGTGGAGAGGCTGGCCTTCAGAGGTTGTGGGGGCTCCATCACTGGAGGCTTCCAAGAAGAGACTGGACAGCCACCTGAAATGGAATAGGGTCTCCTGCTTGAGCAGGGTGGACTAGAAGACCTCCAAGGTCGCTTCTAGCTCTATTCTGTTCATTTTGATCAGTGGCCTGGATCTCTTTTGCATCTCTGGCCACTGCAATTTTCAGAACAATGCTGTTCGATGATGGTGTGTGGGCGGGGGAGAGAAATTGCCTCTTGAAATGCTGCACATTTGTGTTCTCCTCCTGAGTGAGTGTGCAGGCAAAAATGCTGCCTTTCCAGTCCTTGCAGCTCAGGCACACACGTTTGAAGCAGTGTGCACATGCCCACAGCACAACCCTTGGGATGCTGCACCGCTGCTGCTCACCACGTTCTGGGCTGAGGGGCACCGGGTGGCTTGCACAGGCGGCTGCCCCATCGGTAGGTCCTAGAGACCAAGTGTTGCTGTGGGGCCAGAAATCTGCCATGTTGCTCTTACATTTTGTGGAAAGCAGGACTCTTCTGCTGTGTGGAAGGCAAAACCACCTGGCTTTCACCTTTCCAAAAGCACATTGGCACAGAACTACCAAGAACGCTTCGGAGGAAGTGGAGGGAAAGGCCTGGTTTGACTGGGGAAGTGAAATGAGGGGATGCCCACCCTCTTAGCAGACTGGCACTTGGCACGGAGTTTGGTAAAGGCTGGAACAGTGGTTAATGCAGTGTGCAGATGAGGGCACTGCCTGCCAGCCACCAACACCCCAACCAACAACTAAAGCCATACACAATATCTCACACAGAACAGCCCAAAGACCTTCCCCCAGGATGGGCTCCAGCACAACTGGAAGCTTGGAAGACGAAACCTCTGGTCCAGAGTGGATCCTGCATTTCCTCTTGCTGGGCGAGAAGGGGCAGCCCTTTGCCCTTGCCCTCCAGTCCCAGGGGTGGCCCAGGGAGAGGCTTGGCAGCTGCTCTGCCCCGAGTGCCAAGGCTTTGAAAGAGCCATCTTGCCTGCAGCTGTGCTGTCACCTTCTGATGCCAGATGTCCTACCTGATGAGGACAGGACAAGTGGGAACAGGAAGGCCCAGTCAAACACCCCCCTCCCCCTCCCAGACAGAAGAGTCACAAGAATCACCCCAGGCACCTTTGGCCCAGAGCTCCTCCTCTCTGTCACGTCTGCCCCACAGAGGTTTCCCTGGGGATGATGAGGGGAGGGGGCTTCTGTGCATTGCCTTGAGCTCCTGAGGAAATGTAAGGGAGTAAAGTTACCTGTAGTAAAGAAGTAAGATTCCTGAAGTGAGAAAGGAAGGTTGTTGAGAAGGTGGTGGCCTTCCAGCTTCAGCGTACCTTGGAGGAAGCTAACTATCTTGACCCCTTCC